CATTTAAAGAAATTCTACAAAGTGAAAGAACACAAATGGCTAGTGTAGGTAACTCTTTTGAGCCAGTGGTTCCTAATCCTGGCTGTTGTATTAGAATCACCTGGGTAACTTTTTTAAAAACAAAACAAATTGTTCTTTTTCTTAGGATCTTAGGTGGGCCCCAAAGTCATTTAAAAAAAAATAGACTCTTTTTTAGAGCAGTTTTACGTTCACAGTCAAGTTGAACAAAAGGTACAGAGATTTCTCATATGTCCTCATACAATGCATAGCCTTCTCTGCTAACAGCACCCCATAGCATAGTGGACATTTGTTGTTACACTGATGACCCTACGTTGGCGTGTCATTGTCACCCCAAGTCCTTAGTTTACATTAGGTGTCACTCTTGGTGTACATTCTGTGGGTTTTTGGCAAATGTATAATGAAATGTATCCATTATTATAGTGTCAGAATAGTTTCACTGCTGTAAAAATCCTCTTTGCTGTGTTTACTCATCTCTCCCTTGACCCTAACACCTGGCAACCGCTGATATTTTTAGTTTCCTTAGTTTTGCCTTTTCTGGAATGTCCTACAGTTGGAATCTCATAGTAGTAGCCTTTTCATATTGGCTTCTTTCACTTGGCAGTATGCACTTCATGGCTTGATAGTGCATTTCTCTTTAGTGCTGAATAATACTATATTGTCTGGATGTACCACCGTTTTATCTGTTCACCTACTGAAGGATACTGGTTGCTTTCGAGTTTCAGCAATAAGGAGTAAAGCTGCTATAAACACCTATGTATAGGCTTTTGTGTGGACCTATGTTGTCAACTCCTTTGGTATTTATACCAGAGAGCATAGTTGCTGGATTATATGGTAAGAATATGTCTAGTTTTGTAAGAAGCTGCCAGCCTGTCTACAAAGTGGCTGTACCATTTTGCATTCTTATCAGCAATGAAACCTGGGTAACTTTTTTAAAAACAAAACAAATTGTTCTTTTTCTTAGGATCTTAGGTGGGCCCCAAAGTCATTTAAAAAAAAATAGACTCTTTTTTAGAGCAGTTTTACGTTCACAGTCAAGTTGAACAAAAGGTACAGAGATTTCTCATATGTCCTCATACAATGCATAGCCTTCTCTGCTAACAGCACCCCATAGCATAGTGGACATTTGTTGTTACACTGATGACCCTACGTTGGCGTGTCATTGTCACCCCAAGTCCTTAGTTTACATTAGGTGTCACTCTTGGTGTACATTCTGTGGGTTTTTGGCAAATGTATAATGAAATGTATCCATTATTATAGTGTCAGAATAGTTTCACTGCTGTAAAAATCCTCTTTGCTGTGTTTACTCATCTCTCCCTTGACCCTAACACCTGGCAACCGCTGATATTTTTAGTTTCCTTAGTTTTGCCTTTTCTGGAATGTCCTACAGTTGGAATCTCATAGTAGTAGCCTTTTCATATTGGCTTCTTTCACTTGGCAGTATGCACTTCATGGCTTGATAGTGCATTTCTCTTTAGTGCTGAATAATACTATATTGTCTGGATGTACCACCGTTTTATCTGTTCACCTACTGAAGGATACTGGTTGCTTTCGAGTTTCAGCAATAAGGAGTAAAGCTGCTATAAACACCTATGTATAGGCTTTTGTGTGGACCTATGCTGTCAACTTCTTTGGTATTTATACCAGAGAGCATAGTTGCTGGATTATATGGTAAGAATATGTCTAGTTTTGTAAGAAGCTGCCAGCCTGTCTACAAAGTGGCTGTACCATTTTGCATTCTTATCAGCAATGAACGAGAGTACTGATGCTCTACCAGGCACTTGGTGGTGTCAGCAGTCCTCACCAGCATTTGGTGTTGTCAGTGTTTTAGATTTTGACCATTTTCATAGATGTGAGGTGGTATCCCATTGTTTTAATTTGCAGTTTCTTAATGATCAAATGTTGAACATCTTTTCATACGCTTGTTTGGCATGTGGACACATTTTTGGTGAGGTGTCCAGGTCTTTTGCCAGTTTTTAAAATTGGATTTGTTTTCTTACTGTCGAGTTTTCTGAATTCTTTGTATATTTTGGATAACAGTCCTTTATCTGATCTGTCATCTGCAAATATTTTCTCCCAGTCCATGTCTTATCTTCTCTTTCTCTTGATGGAAATCTGTTGCTCTTCAAATGATTCTAATTCTCTGCCAGGTTTGTGCTCTTCTGTTCTAAACTACTGCCTGTGTCTTGCTTTTATCCTTTTGCAAGGCTAAGGGCCATGAATAGCCATCAGTTTTCAGGGGCTCATTTTAGCCTCTTTTTCTCAGCTGGTTCCATCCTACTATCGTCTTCCATGGCTTTGTTACTTGTTCTTCCTTTTTTCACCGTTCATATTCCAGTTTTAATTTGGATAACCATGTAGATTTTCTTAAGTAATAAGGCTGATCCTTCTTGCTACGTAGCTCCTTTGGTTCTGTGACAGTGTGTTTGCTGACGCATAAACTAATGGTGGTCATGTTAGAGTATAAGATAACAATGTTACCACACACATGCCCCCACTGTCTAGCTTTTAAAATCTTTTGTATTGTCATGTTAATAACTTGTCAAATAAAGGGTAAATCTTTATTTTTTTCACTTAATGTGTATTTTTGGTTTGTATGCTAGCTTCTTTTAAAAAGTCTTTTAATTTTCATAATCGTTGAATTTTCACCTCATTCCTACTTTTTTATTTTATATATTTGAACAAATTTTTCATGTATGAGAGTAGAAAGATATTTTTCTGGGGCAGTATTACAGGAAGAATTTTTTGCTAATACAGTTACTTGAATAATTAAGAGATTGCAGCAAGTTTATCTAAGGCATTTTATGTCTTTTTGGTCATATATTTGCATGTGTATGCATAATCATTACAAAATAAAAATAAGCAAATTAACTCCTAATATCTCCTATTTTCTGCTAAGTAAAATTCACTGTTAGATTTGTCAGGATAATTTTTTTACTTTTCATGTGCATATTATTCTAGTTAACACTTATGTTGTGTTGAAATCCTGGTATAAATATTACATAAATACTTATTATTTTAGTGTATAAAGAACTTTAGGAAATACATCTTATTTTATAACTTTAAATTTGATTGGTCAGTTTTTCATTCATCCAGCACATACTACCAAGCACATTTTTGTGTTCCAAAATCAGGGTGACTTTAATGAAGTTAGCACGTAACTTGATATTACAACAAAGGAGTATACAAAAGTTCACTTAACTCCTTAAGAGTAATAAATTGCTAGATACTCTGGTGTTTAGAATTTCTGTTATATAGTACAATGGTCATGAGTTTAAATTGCTACTCAAAATTCAGTGGTTCAGTGAAAAGATACAAAGCTTGCTGAAGAAAAACTAATGTATTACCAGCTTTGCATAAAAGCATTTGTTCACAGTACTGTCAACTAACTGATGTGAATGTTTATCACTTTTGATACAATCAACATATTTATTGAGTGATTTCTGGGTGGTGTATTTTGAAGTCAGAGAGGTTAGTCTTGTGAATAAAAGATTAAATATACAATAAAATCCTGAAAAAAAAAATACGTGGCATAGGCTAGTGGATTTCATATTATATTTAGTAAAATAGATGTCCCATCACTAAAATGTCTTAGTGACCTATTTTCCACTTCACATATAAGAAAAAATAAATTTGATAGTTTTCTCAATTTGAACTTGTTTTCCTATGTGTTGGGAATAGCGTGTTACATGTATTTTATTTTATTTTTTGGCACTTCCAACCACTTGTTTAAATTAGTTCTAATATGCAATGACATTTTATTTATGTGTGTTTTAGATTTCAGGTGAACAGATACCTGTGTATGTCAACATACATATCATAGTTTGTTTCTTTGGAAGACATCATGACTTCAGATTCTCCCCAACCTGAAAAAGTTTAACCACTGCCGCAGACTATCTGTAGTAAAGGATGTTTGGAGATAGATGATGTTTGTTTAGGCTGGAGTTACGGAGAGTTGAGCTAGACCCAGAGGATGGGTTAGATTTGAATGACTAGAGGGGTTGGCAGTGTAATCCCAAAGTGTTACAGGAACTTAGAGGACAAATACACTACTTTAAAGATAGAACCAGAGTCTAGGTTCTGTTGCCTTGTCAAATCGTCTTTCCCTTGGACTGATGGTATAGCAGGATGAAGTGCGGTGGTCCAGAACCTCCTGTTGGTGAAGGTAGCAGTGTGCTTGTGGACTGTGGAAAGGAATTCCTGAAGTCTGAGTAGTCTGAGCAGGACTGCAGTAGAAAAGGCATCCTAGAGTCAAGGGGATGCTGTGCAAAGGCACATACCCTGAAAGAGCTTAACTGTGTTGGAGATGGATCATTCTATTGAGGGTGGGGATGAAATAAAGGGTCTTACATATGTCAAGCACTGTTTCTAGTGGTACGAGAGACACATGGGAAAAACAGAATCCTGCTGCTGTGGAGCATACATTTCAGTGGGAGAAACAAGGAACAGATAGAATAGAGTATTTAAGGGAAAAGAAAGTGTAGAGTAGAGTAGAGATAGAGGTTGTTGCTTAAAGTAGGGTGGTCAGGGAAGACCTCTGCAGAGGAGAAGCTTGAGCAGAATAAAGTGAGGGAGTGAGCTACGTAAAGCAAGGCAGAAGAAATGGCAGCACACATTTGCTGGGTACATTGTAGACAGAGAGCATTCAGTTAATGGTTTATGCTCATTGAGTATTTACTGAATGCCAGGCATTTAGGATTTTGTTTTGACTGATGTTATGGCATTAAGACGATTGAGAAATGACTGGAAGTTGCTTTATGATTCTGGAGGTCAACAGATGGGTCAGGACTATACAAAACATATTTGTTAGTCATCTGAATACAGGTTATAGCTTAAAATATTTTACTGGCTTATAACATTTCTTTTATTTAAAATGGAAGATTCCACTTCATTATTTTATTGTACAGATAATGTGCATGTATACATTTCAGCGCGTGCATGTGTGCGTCTAAACAAACTGTAATGAACTCTTCTGTTAATAGGTGCGAGAAGATGTACTAAATTCATTGAATAACAACTTTCTTCAGACGCTAAATCAAGCTTGGAATGATCATCAAACAGCTATGGTGATGATTAGAGACATACTAATGTATATGGTAAGTAGAGCTTTTTGTTGCTTTTCCTTAAATACACCTCCTTTCTGTCACCTTTAGTTGGATGGTACATGTCAGTATGGAAGATCCTCTTTTGTTTTAATGATACTTCCTTTACAGGGATCAATCAGTCTTAGCTAATAAAAGTAAAATCTTAATTGTTCGTATACTTAACTATTGGAATGGGAGACTGAAAAGGAAAGATTTAATTTTTTTCCCTCAATATCTAGAACTTATGCTTCAAAAAGTTAAATATTAAAAAGCCTTATTACCCTCTCATTTAGAGTAAGGGTGGTTGAATGACAGCATGAGAGGTGAAAGCTGAATATTGTCCAACAAGTTTTTAAAACCTAATGTCCTTATATCTTCAGTTATAGGGGATGTTATCTTAATACAAATATTTTTATATAATTATGCTTAATAGCTGCCATCTATCACTTAATAGTAAATCCTTGCAATATATATATTCAGATATATAATCCCTTTTCCCTCTTACTACTATTTCATGTGTCACTATAGAATTATAAAGTCGCATAACTTGTTTTGTTATTTCAGTGTTTGTGCTTAGGAATTGGACATAATGATTTTCTTGAGAGGTTTTACTCTACTTTTCAAATTTTTTAGTTTCTTTAGTTTTTTTAGTTGCAGTAGTGAGAGCTTATCCTTGTTTCTTTAACTTGACAAAAGAAAGCAATCTTTGGAAAGAATTTCCAATGAGATCAAACAGTTACAAAGTTTTTCTTCTGAATGAAGTTAGTCAGGCTTATTAACCTCTGGGTTTGTAGGCTTAGTGGCAAAGAAATTGGGGAGGCTACTTCATTTTTCATTTTGATAAAAGGTATAACAAATTACTTAGCCTTTCTGAGCTTCATTTTCCTCTTTAGGATATAGATTGAGCTTGTGCTGATATTTTTAGGTAAATGAGAATGGAAACATAAAATGTCTAGGATATAAATGTGAAATAAGTCAGCTTACTGCTTGTTTTTAAATTCTGAATTTGGTGAGTCTTTAAATTTCAGCAGTTAGGTAGAAAACCACTTATAGTCTTATGGACCCTTACTCTATTGATAAAAGAAGTATTTTAAAATTAATATACACACTTTAATGTTATTTTTAAAATTTGTGTTTTATTTCAGTTCCTTTTTGTTGTTGTTCCAAAATTACATCTCAGACCTTGAATCCTGGCTGTTGGGTGACCATAGACAAGACACTAGTCCATCTAGTCCTCAACCTTTCTTATTTATAAAATGAAAATAAAATTTTTTAAATGAAAATTGGGTAGGGTAGCTGAGAAGCTTAAATTGCCATTCATGTAAAGCACTTATTAGGGCCTGGACCATAGTAATGTGCTCAGTGAATATTAACTAGTATTAATATTTCTTGTACCTTCATCCTTTCATCAGACTCACCTGGTAGTATGACAGCCCTGGGTGAACCCAGCAAACTGAACCTTTCCTGGCCCTCTTCAGGAGGAAACCCCACACCAAGTAGATTAGTGCCACTATTTGTCCATTGTCACAGACCTCCAGTTGACCCTCCACACTGCCCAGCAGTCTCCTTTCTCTAGTCAGCTCATTCCCCCGCTTAGAAACAGTTGTTTTTCTTCAGACCTCCAACTTTTCCTGCTTAACCCCTCACACTCAGTAAATGATCTTGCCTTCTACCTCTCAGAAAAGAGAAAGCACCCAGTGGAAACTGTTTATTTCTTGCCACTGAATCTATAACTTTACCTGTATTTTCTCCCCATTTGTGTTTTTTTTCATTTCCTTTCCTGTTTTTATGGAGGGCAGTATCTCCTCTTTTGTCAAAGGCCAGTTCTCCACCTGTGCTAAGGATCACGTCCCTTTCTGTCTTGTAAAAAACCTGAAACATTTTTGGATTCTGCCTTTTTACAGGACAGGGTCTTACTCATCAGCTTTAGATGTGTTTAGGCCACTCACATCCTCAAAATAAAATTATGATTTTCTCTTGGACCCTGCACTGATCTCCTGGGGTCTCTCATTGTCATTTATAGCTGAATGTCTCATAAAGATGTCTTGACAGTTGCTATCTCCCTTTTCTCATCTTCCATTCACTTTAAATACATTCCCGTTAAGCTTCGACCTCAGTTACTCTGTTCAGTCTTGTTCTTACTAGAGTCACCATATTTGCACATCTCTGAAGGCAGAGATTGCTGTTAATCCTCATGCTCCTTGACGTTTTTTTCCGGCAGTATTGGGCCCAGTTGACTGCTCTCTCCTTCTAACATGTTGGGTCCTTGGTTTCTGTAACACTAAAGCACTCTCTTGCTATGCCTCCTACCTTTTTGACTATTCCTTGTTGGCCACGCCTCGTTCTCTTCTGTCCCTGAAATAAAGGCATTCTTAGATTTCCTTCTCCTGGTATGCATCATTTACTGCCATAGCTTCATTTAGTTCCTCTGTGTAGACAATTCCCCTCCCAGTAGCTGGTCTTAGAATATTCCTGTATTCCTCTCTCTCCTCTTTTTCACATTGCTCCTAAAGTTATTCTTTTAAAGCACATGATCATGTGACTGCCCTGCTGAAATCCCTCCCTCTTATCTTGGAATCTTAGCGTGTGTTTTCTGTCTGAAAATGTTTGCATAAGGTGTCCTCTCTTATGTGATTTGCTTGCTCCTACTTACCCTTTAAGTCTTAGCTTAAATTTCTGATAAGCTTTCCCTCACCCATGCTCACCCTGCCCACTGGCCTCAGTTGTTCTCATTGTACCCAGTACTGTTTGTGTGCAGCATTCATCACGATCACTATCAACAATGGTTCACTGCCTCATTTCCCTACCAGACTGAACTTCATGGGAGGTCCCAGTTCCTGTGTCACCAACACCTTGCATAGCTCTTTGTACAAACTAGGTACTCACAGACATCTTGAATGAATTAAAACACACAGATTATTTTTTAATAGATCATGCTTTTTTAAAATGCTTAATACAATAAGCTATTTTAGATTCAGAAAGATAGCTTCACATTATACACAATACAGTTCTTTCATTTTTCATATCCCACATTCTCTTTATTTTGCCTTTTTTCTGTATAGTATTCTCTGTTAAGGTAAAATTAGTATATTGAAGTGTGTAGAGCTAAAGTATTAAAAATTACTCCTGGCAAATACATGTAACCATATGACAAATACTTTAGTCAAGATAGATAAATGCTTTCAGTTTTCCAAAAATCAAAGTTTTTCCTATCAATGTCTATATTATTTTCTTTGAAGACTTTACTTTCATTCCAGACTTCTCAGGTTGCATTACCTGCTAGATAGGGCTTTTTACCTCATGTACACTGGCTAAACCTTTATGGAGCCTAGACACATTTCTTCTCTTTCTATGAATACTGGCTCTAACAGTTGGAATTTTAGATCAGTCTCATAGAGGGAGGAGAGAAGATGCTTCACTGTCTAACCACCTACCACCTACACTCAGCCAGCTTTTACCCCTTACGAGGAGAAGTCTGTATCTAAAATGTCAAGCATGAACCTTGGTGTGTAGATACCATAGGACATACTGACTTGCAAAATGAAAATGGAATCACAGGTTAGAAATGGAAGTAGCCATTGGTCAAAATTTGTCTCAAATAACTTTGTTGTTTGGCAGGTTCAGTGTTTCAAAAAGAAAGTATACATGTCTCTAGATGGAACATGTGACCTCTAGTTTCTGCCACTCCACCCTTCCTAATATTTGAGACTTGTATTACCTGTTTGGCCCCTAAAGGTATTAGTGTGTGTAGTCTCTGCTCTACTTAAACTTGTTGTTTTTCTTTAAAATTGGTTTGGGAATTGAGTATTTTATGGAGAAAGTTTGTTATTTATATAGGTTATATAATTACTTAATTATTGATATAATCCATAAGTATATATCAACATATGGTTCATTTTTTTCCCCCCTTAAACTATAAAAATGAACACAACATCAAGGGAAAATTGAATTTATAGGTGGTATTCCATAGACTACTTTGGAGCAATTAAAATTAACGTCAAAGGAAATAGAAAAACATTTCCTATAGTGATTTATAGGGCTCATAGAAGGTTAATAGAGGACTTTTTTGCATAAAACTGGTGAATTTCAAACCTATTTTCATATTTATATTTCCAGTCATTTTTCACAAATAGCAAAGGTACAGTAATATTTCAGGTTATCCTTAAAAGATTAGAGGCTATAAATTCAAAGGCATGGGGGAAGAGTTAACCCAGGAAAGGAGAGTCACCACTTTTTTTTTTAGCTATTTGGAAAGTCAGCAAGGATGGGTCAGAAGGTTAGGAGGAAAGTAGCAGTGACTTTGTGAAGAGGAGAGAAACTGAGGGTCTCTGCTGACGTGCTCAGTCTCTTTAGTTAAGTAGAAGGTGGGACCATCCGTTTAGAGTGACAGAGGGTAGGTGTTGAGGAATGTGATAGGCTGAATGGTACGCACAGCATTCCTCTCCCACCCCCAGCACCCCACTGCCAACGTGTTCATTACTAATCTCTGGAAACAGGGATTGTTACCTTATACAGCAAAAGGAACCTAACAGCTGTGATTAGGTTAAGGCTCTTGATATGAAGAGATTGTCTTAGGTTATCCCGGTGGGCCCACTGGAATCACAGGGCCCTTAGAATGGTTGCAGGGGGTCAGTCACAGGAGAAAGCAGTGTTGACAGAAGCAGGGTTTGTAGTACACTTTGAAGATGGAGGAGGGACTGCAGCCAAGGGATACAGATGGCTACTTGAAGCTGAAAAAGACAAGGAAGTGAATTCCCCCCTCAGAGGCTCCAGAAGGAACCAGCTCTGCTGACATCTTGACTTGAGCCCAGCGAAACTGATTTCAGTCATCTCTAGAATTGTACGAAAATAAAAAAGTAAGCTGCTAAATTTGGGGTGATTTGTTAAGCAGCAATAGGAAACTAATATAAGGAAAAGGTTTTGAATATCCCCTGTCCTGGGGTCCACTATCTGTAAATAAATAGGTCATTTATAGTTGTGAGGAGATAATTTAGGTGAGTTTCCATAAATTT